TATGTCTTTTATTTGCAAGTTTTAAACCAGCTGGGAAGAAATGTGTTTTTTGCAAGAGGAAACATTCTTTTAAACTTGTTTTAAGCAATGAAATCAATGCACACTCAAGGTTTTGGGTGGTCTATAGCAAGCTATTGCTCGTATTGCTGTTACAAAATTAGTAGAGTGCAAATAGATTGAAAAGATTCAAGATGTATATCACAAATGTACTGAGCTGTATATAATTGAAATAAACTTATTTTATACTTTAAAATACCTGTCCAGACCACTACTTGCAAACCTGCATCAAATTCAATCTAAACTGATGAGATTCGAAAAGCTTTTTTTGTAAAAAGGCATTGCTCAGTGGCTTTATGTATTGTAATTTCCCTAAATGTCTAAGTTCTTTCTTATTGACAATTTTTCCTCCATGCTATAGGTGGTAGAATTAATGTGATTTAATGAAACCTTGACCTCCACATCCCAGGAATTTCATACGACATTGCATGAGTCAGTAATTTTAAACCTACATTGCCTTTTACATGGCTTCCTTTCTGACACTGTGATGGCAGCTTTGGTGCAGTTTCTGTGAAAATGCGCAGTCCTTAAGATTGAGGACAATAAATGTTAATATTGGAATATAATCGTTATAATATTAATCTGATGAACTGCTACAGGTCTTCAAAGCACCTCTTATTGTATAGCACAGTTAACTAGTATGAAGATTTTTTCATTGCTTGAATCTCAAATGGAATATAAATAAATGTGCTCATTAGACTTTGTCAATAATTAGGAAGTCATTTATAATTAGATATGTGTTAGAATGATGCCTAATCCACTGAAGCATATACCAACACTTGGTATGTCTGGAGACAACTTGTTCACAAGGAGAAATGTAATTTAAATATTTCTGACATAATTATGGGGAAGTTAATACTAGTTTTTCAGCGTGTACACATCTGTAAGAACTTTTTAGAACATTAGTACAGGGCCAGGGAAACACATACAATGATGACTCATTTAATAACTTGGTCATATTGTCGTCTTCTGTTTTTCCAAACTTGGGCTCTGTCTACACTGGGCATTTGTCATGATTTCAGCATTCTGTGGCTAGCCATCGATGTAGCAGAGTTTTACTGGTGCAGCTACCTCCGTGACTGGCCACCAATTGCTGAAATCAGGGCAAATACCCAGTGTAGACAAGGCTTCTTAGGTCATTTTCGGATATGAATCGCCACTCATTTTTGTGTGTATGCTTTGAGTTATGTGCACTGCATGAGTGTGGTTCCATGCAGGCAAATCATCTTGAAAAGAACCACAGATAATAGGGAAAAATGGTTACTTACCAGTCCTCCAAGATTACACAGATGACACCCAGCAAAATGTCTACTGGTATATAGGAAACATGACTTCCCATGTAATAATGCCAAAGATTAGAAAGTATGCAACTGAAAATCAGATTTCTTTGGTGTGATACTTCCATAGTACATAACAGCTCATGTTTATAGCTACAACTGCTTTTAGCTGTGGAGGTCCCCTGGTCAGTCCCATATGATGGCAGTTGTCAGACGGACAAAGTAATCGGATGGTTTAATTATCGTGGACTTGAATCCTCCTTCAGTCAACAAAAGCACAAATTCGTGGAGGAAACTCATTGATTCTTTAATGAAATTCATGTCATGTCCGTAGTTTCTTTTGCATGTGGGGCTATTGAGTGATCAGAGCTAGCCTTTGGGGCCCTCCAAAGCCAGTGACCAACGGCTCCAGTTTATCTGGGTATCTAGCAAGGGCAGTGCTATTATCCGCTTTCATATACCAAAAAGAAGTTCCTAGTACTCTTCTTTCTAAAACTAGCCTTGAAAATTAGTCTCTGAAATTTTCCTAAAGATTCATGGTTTACTTGCAGTCCACCACCACCACCTTTTAGCTGCCACGCTGGCCTTTCGGGTCCACATAACCCATGGTTTGCGGATGGTCCCAATCCCAAATCAGTTCACAGGTCTGGGGGAGCAGTACTGCCCATGCTGCTACTGATGGCACTAGGACTCCTGCAAGTTCTCCCACTTGACTTCTTGCAATTGACCAGCTACACTGCTGGGCAGCCACCGCGACTTCTGGCCACAACTAAGATCGTTGACTAGCATGAGACAAAGCATAGGTTAAATGTGGGATGGAGAGCAAAGGTCTCCTGTATCCATATCTCAGCTCTGGCACTCTCTGTATAGCCTTTGTTCAAGTCACAAACTCTGTTTTAGTTTTTACCATCAGCAAAATGGGGATATGCTTTACCTGTAAAGTAGGAAACTAGCTACCACCCATAAAAGGCACCGTAGAATTCAGTAGAATCCTAGTGCCCCACAGACATTTGGCTTGTTAGAAAACTTGCAAAATTTCAAAATAAAAATATAGCGGGTTTGTGGATTTTTCTTCACAGACCCCAGTAAAAGCTCCTTTTCTATCCGTGTGATGAGGGGTGGAAAGGGGAGAACCTACAGAACTCCTTTTTTACACACACGCACGCATGCTAATTTTGTTTGTACCTAGAAGAACCATTTCACTTGCCCTCCCCCAAATCCTCACACCTACTCAAGACTCATGTGATTGAAGTAGACAGGAGTCCATTATGTTGTGGGGCGTGATGAGAAAAACTGCCTTGCAAATGCCCCCAAAAATGCAAAGGGCAGCTCTAAAAATAACTATGACAATTGCTTCCATTTCTGGACACTGCAGATATATTTCAAACACAAAAGGTATATGTTACCATACTGTAAATACTGTGGTAGTTGGGTAATAATTATATGTATATATGTGTGCATGGTTAATTTAGCTTCCAGAATTAAATGGACCATTTGGCAGGTGGGGCTAACTTTAAAATGGGACATTCTGTACTAAATTAAACCTCATTCTTTAGCAGTTTGCTTTCTGGGTCTTCTTCTGATGTTTGGCTTCCAACCCTGTCTCCAGCCTTGAAATACTTTTCCTTGCTCTTCTATTCTTTGGCTTTGTTTCCATTTTTCCTCTATTTTCCTTCTTTAAGCAGGGTATTCTGCTCTCCACCTCCCTTTGCTTTTCGGCCACTGTATATGCACATGCACATGCATATGTGTTTCAAACCAAGTTATTTATTTTGCAGGACTTACCACAACGTGTCATATGTGGGTAGTCAGCCGTCCCTCCCTTCCTCTCCACCCCCACTTTCAGTTTCATATCAGGAAAGTTTTGCTTTCCCAAGGAAGTATACAAAACGTGGTTTCACATCGATGCCTGGCTGCCACAATGATGAGTGTTCTTGAAATTCCTTGTGTCCTGTCCATTTCTTGGGCAGTTCTGAGTGCTGAATGGTTTCATACAGTAGATGTACAATGTTGCTGAACTGTCATGTTACTTATGATATGTGTGTGTGTTGTATCAGACACCACAGATAAAAAGGTGCAATTTCATAATCTTAGAATGACCTCTTTGTGATTATATGCACACCACAGTGATGAATTGCTGCATTATCCCGAGTTACCGTTGTTAGTTGTAGCTTTGCCATATATAGAGGCTTCCATTTAAAAAGTCAACATTTTCTCATTTAGCATTCACTGGTATCTGCGATGCCATAGTTATTTCCTGTGTTAAGTATAGTATGTCGACAAAGAAAAAGGATAATAATGTAGTGAGGACCTTTTGCATATAGAAGATCTAAAAAGCCCTACTGTCTTCATAATTTAAAAAATTCAAAACATAGTGTCGGTCTCTTACACAAATTATATCCTTAGGAGTATATTGAGTAAAATCTATAACTGATTGTGAGTTGTCAATTGCAAACTCTAAGAAATGCAAGAACTTTTTCCTGAATGAACTTCTAATGTTGGCAGTTAACTTAGGTAGGCCAGATCCTGATGTGGTAGTTGAGTATTCAGCACCTATAGGTTTGGCTCTATGTAGCTGACTGCGTATCTGTAAGGAGTGCTGTGGGGGTGTAGCTTCGTTGGTCGCAGGATACTAGAGAGGCGAGGTGGGAGAGATAATATATTTTACTGGACCAACTTCTGTCCACTCTGTGTGTCTGTCTGTAGGGAGCACAAAGTAATATATATGCTCTACAGAATAAGTATAAAACAAAACACTGAGCAGCTTGTAGAAAGGAAAATTCTGTTGGTCAAATTCAGCTGCTCTAAAGGAATACATTTTTCAATGTATTTTGTTCAGTATAAAGGTCAAATAAACTTGGTGGTAATGTAGCTCCATAGTTCATAAAATCACTTGTTGCATAAAACATATGGCACTTGCTGAAATGTTTCCCTTTGCCTCAAAGGGAAGAGACTAGTGTTTGTTTACTCACTTCAGTTTTCTTTTCTCAAAATTATCTTTTTAATTCTGCAAAATAGTGTGCTCTCTTGTGTTTGTATTCTGATCCCTACTGCTTCAAAATTCAGGTCTAACACAGCAAGTCGTCGAAGCCAACAATCTCCTATTCATATTCGACCTGAAGGACTAAAATGGAGAGAACCACTTCACCAGACTTTATTTCTTTAAAAAATATATATATATATATAATATACATATATATCACACAGGCAAATGTTTTACTAGAGATAACGAAAGAAAATGTTGTAGCCAAGCTACTTAGTTACAAAGATTTGAGTAAAGATTTTAAAATGTTAACGTGTGATTAGCAATGATTGCAGGTGTATATAATCTCTTGCTAATATTCCATTTTAAAGATTTGTGAGATTTTTGTGTTGCAGTTGTGTTTGACCCTAGAGTTCTTGCATGCTAACCTAAAGTAGAAGATTAGCCTGTTTGCATGCAGCTGGGTGCTGCTACTGAAGTGACAAGCATGCTCAGTGAGAATGCCATAACTTCCTTTGGCCGAAACCCCTTCCCAGTCCTGTCTGTGACCTCATTTCCTGTGGTACGTGCATAACTTCCTTCATCATTAGTTTCACTAACCTTCACAATTCTTTCTTTGATGAAATACAATATATACCCTGAAAGGTGTAAATCAGCACTGAGCTCTCTCTTTTCTCTTTCAGACAGACTGAAAAAGCTCATTGGTGAACGAGAATCCTTGCTAGAACAGGTAATTAACATATTTCAGTATTGCTGGATGCCTGGTAAGCGACATGGTGACGAGGAGATTTACAAGAGAACAAAATACTCCTATAACAGAAAGAGCATAGGTAATAATGCCCAACAAAGCACAGCAGCTGCTGCTGGAAATGCTGCTGCGATTGCTTCCCTTCCTGTGGTCAGTGTTTTTATTGCACAGGCGCTGGGGTCAGCTTTGCACACTGGCGGTACATTTATGGGGATGGGTATAAGGCAGATTTCTGCCAACACACGGTCATAGACGGGAAGGGGGACACTCTAAAACAATCTTCATAAAAAACTTCATCAGGATTTCAAACAGGGGATTTTTTCCTCCCCAAATGAGCTAGTTGCATGTTACAGGGCTAACTGCCTTGTAGACCCCTCCTGGTCTCTTCGAGGGTGCCCCATTCAGGTCTCTGGCCTCACACAGCCACCTTTCTTGGAGTGGAATCGTGCTTTTCTTCTACTCAGACTAGGCCTTGCAGGGCAGTCCCCAGAGTGAACCATGATTATCTCAACAGGCAGTTCTGGTCTCTCGGGAAGCAATGATGGTGATAAACAGTGAGCAGACAGCCTTCTTAAAGCAAAGACATTCCAGAGAAACCCGCCCTTTAAACAATAAACAGACTGCATGCTGGCCTGTCTTTGCATAAGGCTGATCATTAAGACTATCATTTTGTCATGGATATTTTTAGTAAAAGTCATGGACAGGGAATGGGCAAAAAACAAAAAGATCACAGAAGCAATGACCTGTCCTGGCTGGGAGCTGCAGGGATCCCAGTGGCTGGGAGGGGTCCCCCCACTACCTTGTAGGGCTGGGAGCTGAGGGGGGGTGGTCCCCCTGCTGCCCGCGACGGCAGGGGAGCTACGGGGGGGAAGGGGACCTGCTAGTGGCAGAGGCTGGGAAACTGGGGGGGCCTCACCCAGCCGCTGAGCAGCTCCGGCATCTGGAAGCTGCAGGGGGTCCCCACCCATGGCCACTGAGCAGCTCCGGAGTCCATCTGCCGCTGGCGACTGGGAGCTGTGGTGGGGCCCCGGCTGCTTGTGGCGGCTGAGCCGCTGTGGGGGCGGGGGGGACCCCTGCCAACAGTGGCAGCTGGGCAGCTCAGGGGTTGCAGCTGGTCAACTTCAGGGATCCCGCCACCTTGAGCAGCTGCGGGAGGGTCCCCCACCGCCCACGGAGACTAGGCTGCTGCGGGACCCCTGCTGCTGGCAGCGGCTGGTTAGCTGTGGGGCCCCCAATGTCACAGGGGTCATTAGAAGTCACCGATTCCGTGACTTCCGGGACCTCCATGACATAAACTTAGCTTTCTGTGAATATGAGGGAAGCCCTACTTCATATTCCCTCCATCTCCTTGGACAGCTGCTGACAATCTTTTTGTTTCACAACGTACAGTTTAGGAGGAGAAATGCAATAGGAATATAATAGCTGGGTAAATGAGAGCCAAATTATTGATGGTAAAACTATACATCATAAAATTCCAAGACAGAACATATATGCAGACCTTTAAAAGCTGACTTGTTTCCTGATAGATGGTAAATTCTTTGGCAGCATAAAGATTCCCATCAGTTATTCTCTTGAGACCTTTGGGATTATGATTGTTCATCTGCATTAACTCATGTTGTAAAAAATCTGACTCTTTAAATTAATTCGCATTCAGAGGATAAACTGCATTACCAATAACACTGTCCCCTCAATGTTACGTACTAGTTCTACTCCAGAATCTACACCCTGTTTCCCAAATAACCTCCCATGTTAAACAGTGCTGCAAAGGAACACGTAGGAGACAAATTTATGACAACATATATTGTGAGACAGATGATCTAAGTATGACATTCCTTCTGGCCAAATGAACTTTTGTGGGGGGCAGTCTGTAGATTGATTTGACCGCTCTCTGTAAAGACACTGAAATTAATGAATTATTTTGGGACTTTCAGATTAAAACACTAAAAGGACAACTGGAAGAGAAGCAGAAGAATGAGAAGATGGAGAATCTGCAGTCTGAAGATGAAGTTCTTGAGAATGGGACAGATATGCACATGATTGATCTCCAAAGTAAACTTAATTTCCGTTTAAAGAGTAAACTGCTAAGTGCAGTATATGGACAAAACAGTACAAATATTGGTTTAAACTTGACTCTTGAATTCTGAGAGTCTCTCACTTACAGGCTATCTTGCCTATCCACTTGTTCAATTCATTCTTGTTATGTTGGGAGAATTTTCAGTGCCACGGGCAGTTAGATAAGATTCTACAGTAGGTGCAGGAGGGGGGTGTCTTTAGCATTTCAGTTTCCACTTTAAAGACTATGCTGCACAGAAACCTCCTTTGTATTATCAAGTAGGACTGGGTGGGGGCTCTCTTCCCACTACCAATTCTGCTCTTAGAATTGTCACGTGATGTGATCTGAATCGCTCCCTGCTCACAGGGACTGGAGGGTGTATGCGTACCAACTTGCACGTATAGGGGAATGTTACAGAATATTTCATGCCAAAGCACAGAGCATGAACCACCTGCCCACCAGCCAGCCCCACATAGTAACAATGCAACATTTTAAAGCTCCAGCATTTTACGTACTGGAGCCCTGTCCAGATTGTTCCTACATTTCTGATAACAGATTTGTCATTTTTTTAGGAGATGCCAACAGACAGATCAGTGACCTCAAATTTAAACTTGCAAAGTCTGAACAAGAGATAACAACTTTGGAGCAGAATGTAAGTTTGCACCTGGAGAGAGAGTGATCAGCTAAGAAATATAGTTCCATGATAAACTAAGGCTATGTCTACGCTGCCAGGCAGGTCAGACTACGGGGGTGTGAATAACAATGCACACCAAAGTGCTGTAACTCCCGTCAGGACACTACGGGCGCAGACTGAAAGGTTCTAGTTCGCACTAAGGTATACTCCTGGGGGAATTCTGCACCAAAAAAAATTCTGCACATATTTTAAAATTCTGTATATTTTATTTGTCAGAATAACACAATATAATCATGTCAGTTTCAGTTATTTTGGTAATTATTTCAAAATGCCTACCTGTCAGCAAGCATGTCTGCCATACAGACAACAACAAAAGATTCCCCCAGGAGTAGAGAGTTAAAGAAATCCCTTCCACAACCCAGTTGGGTGCCTCAGTCTGGGTGTGTGTCGCATGCCAGCTGAGCACATCTTGGGAGAAAACTCTGCTCCTGCGGTCTTTTAGTTGATTCTCATTTTTTCACCCTGCCCCCGTAGGGTTACCATATAGAGGTTTCCAAACAGAGGATACTGCTGGGGGGGAGTGGGAGGTGGAGCTGGAGGGGGTACAGTTGGAGAGTGCTGGAGGTGGTATTTGGGGATGCTGGAGAGGTCCGTACTGGGAGAGGATATTTGGGGAGGTGTTAGAGGGGGCTATGTGGGGCTCCTGGCCCAGACACCCACACCCCCTCCCCACAGAACCCAGCTGCGGGGCCAGACACCCGCACCCCCAGAGCCCAGGGATCCAGAGGGAAAAACAGCCTGATGCTGAGTCCTGGGCACATATGGAGTTTCCTGCACACCACCACCTTCCTTCAGGGCATGCTGGGAACTTCAGCGGCTGGGAACCTTGGCAGTGTTCTCTATTTGCGAGCTTGGGAGCCAGGCTCTGTGGGGTCCAGCAGCCTCTGTAGGCTGCCAGCAGTTCTGCAGTGCAAATTCTAAGGGAAAAAATAAAATTGTGTGCAAATTGTGCGTTGTGCAGTGGTGCAGAATTCCCTCAGGAGTAAAGGTAGTCCTGTTTGAAAAGTACTACATTAACATGGACTATGAACCTTTCAGTTAGTACTCGCAGCATCCACATGGGGGAGTTACAGTGCAACAATTTGGTGTGCACTACTATTCACACCCTGTAGTCCAACCTCGGAGGCAGTGGAGGCAAGCCTTTAGTCTTGCTTGCTGTAACAAGCTTTGAAGAAAGGATTGTTAGGGATTCAGAACTATCTCATTGTGTTCACACAGACTGGAAATACTTTCATTTACGTATAGGAAATATTATTCTATAAATGTAGAGTTCAAAACAACAATCAACTTCAAGGATCTGTATTAACACCATTTTGAAAATACAAGAACACTTTAGTGTGTGGTTATATCCAGATACCTGCAGTTCTTGACTGGCTGGAGGCAAATGGTGTGGAGTATGAGTCATGCATAACACAGTTGGGTGTCACTGCTCATTATGCCTTTTGTCCTGCATAAGTCAGCAACACAGTTATTCTTCAGAGAGGAAAGAATGGCCCTACTTAGTCACTGGTTGTAGAGAAGTTTGCCCTGTTTAACTTTCGGTGTAGGTAAGTTACGTTTTTTTTAATACATTGAAACATTTCCCCATATCGTTGGTAGAGTATTAGAGAAGAATGCCAGTAACTGACACCTCTGTGGCATAGTTTTTCTCAGAACATGCCCTTCATTCTAATAAGACCACAGTGTAGACTCCCAACTTCACTGGGTTGCCAAAGGAAAGACAGGATTAGAAGTTTTTACCTGTACACAGTTCTTAATGGTGTACTTGCTTTTTAACCTTAGGTAATACGGTTGGAGGGTCAAGTAGCTCGATACAAATGTGCTGCTGAAAATGCTGAAAAAATAGAAGATGAACTGAAAGCTGAGAAACGCAAACTCCAAAGAGAGGTAATTTACCGTTACATTATAGATGAGCAAATTCAGTTTCTACAGAGGATTAGCAGACACATCTCTGAAAGCTTTTTTTTTTTTTTTCCCACAATAGTTGCCATGTAAATGACTACTTTTGTATTGTTCCTGTTAGTCGCGCTGAAGGATTTGGCCAGAATCTTAGTACTCTTAAATCTGGTTAATGCAAATGCAACTGTGACAACTCACGATAGCACACTTCCCTTGAACTGATTACTGTAACTGATTCTTAGGTAACGTCATCCTTAATGCCTAGCGCCTCTCTCTAACTTGTATCAGACTTGGTGCTACTGACTAGACTGAAGCTCTCATGTCCCAGGGTCATATCCTTCAGTACAGTTCTACTTCAATGACAGTGTCATTTACAAGTGTCAAATCCAAATGTTCATTTGAGTCAGCGTACATAAGACTTGAATAATTGGTGTTTGTACTATAAAAACCGTTACAAGTGTTGGCATACATGTCCTTTAACTAACGTCATTAAGAATCAGTTCTCAATTACAGCTTCTGTTTTTGTACTTTCAAATCTTTGACACTATTAGGATGTGTAAATGAGAAATTAGTGGGAAGCTGGGAATACTGGCATTGGGGTATCAGAGGTCGTGTTTCATCATTTAACCACAATGACACAGAATCAACAATAAAGGACCTAGAAGATAGGCCCCCCCATCAACTTTAGATGTTTGGCAGAAGTCTAAATTAAAGTCAAGCACTTACACTGATTGACATTGCAGCTACTGAACTAGTCTTCCTTGCTTGTTGTTTTGATCCTGTCCCTCAATGGGCTCCCCACACATGATCACCTCAGATTTAAACATCTTGTCATCACCTTCAAAGTTCTGTATAATTCTGCCCCGTCCTACTTATCTTTTGTCAAGCTTGATATTGTCCACCTCTCCAGTCCACCAGTACTCTAGCCCTTGTCTGCTCATTTGTCAGTTTCTTACACAATAACCTCTGTGCCGCCTTCATTGTGGCACTTTCTGCATGGTGCAACCTCACTGATCTCATCCACAGAGCCCCTACTCTGTCGACATAAGGCCTTCTTAAAAGACCCATTTCCGCCATGCTGCCTATAATGAATCAATGACTTGCTTATTGATGTTCCTGTTCCTTTTCCCCAAAGCACTCTCTACTTGTCTGTCCTTATAGTGTGAGACCACTGGAGCAGAAACTATCCTTCATGAGTGTTTGGGAAGTTGGTGCGACCATAAATATATAGTAAGCAAATGTAATAATCTTCAGGCACCTAAGTAAATGGCCTGAATTTCAGAGGTGCTGAACGCATATTATTCCTCTTGGAGTTCGCATTGACTTGAGAGAGAATGAGGTTTGCTCAGCACCTCTGAAATTCAAGCTATTTAGTTGGTGTGACATTCCCCAGGGTAGAATGTGAGAGTTGAACAGCAGTGTCCCCTTAACTCTAGCCTGGGGTGCCTTTTACGCTGCTGTGCTGTCAGAACATCCACTCTTGGCCTGCTCACACAGCCTTCAGCGTTCAAATTCACTCCTAGCTAAATACATGAGCACTCTGACCAGTCACTCATTAATTACATACAGGGCGACACCCACAAATTCTTAGTCCCAGACTTTCCAGCAAAAATGTGCATCTTGTACTGTCCAGCACACTACTGAACAATGCAAGCTCATAGAAAGTCCATAATTTCATCAAAGGAAAGGGCTCATCCCAAAAAGAGTTTCCCACGCACTTTAATCCAAACACACTGGTTAAGATAAAACAATAAGCTAAATTTATTAACTACAGAAAGATAGAATTTAAGTGATTACAAGTGATAATGCATAAAAGCTGGGATTTAGTTACAAAAGAAAATAAAAGAATAATAAGCCAGCTAAAACCTCACGTAAAAAGCTAATAACTTAAAAGCAAAGGTTTCGTTTCACCATACACTGTCAATTTCGCATGCTGGGTCTCCTTGCAGCCTGGGACCATTCCCTCCTTAGTTCAGTTCTTTGAGATTCATTAATGTCCTGATCAGAGAGATGGGAGAAGGAGAGGTGAAGTCAAGCATTTTCCTTCTCCTTTATAACTTAATTTCTTGTGCTAGAAATATCCTTGCTAAATCATGGTGACACAGTCTGTTGTGGACGTGAGGTTTGAAATGTTCCTGTGATGCAATGCAAATTGCTTATTCACACCTCCCCCCTCCCTGTGGGAGAATGGCCACATAAGTATCTCATTTTTTTTAACACCTGGGTGGGGCCAGTGTCTCTTTGTCTCTGAAAAACTGCTTTGTGGGTGTTACCCAGAATTACAACATATTTCAGTAACAATCATATAGTAGAATCTCATAACTTTACATATAGTGTTGCTATACATATTTAAATGGGATAATAATGTTCAGCTGATTATGACTTTTCAAATGATACCTCACAAGTCATACTTTGTACAGAAGTTATCATAGTCTTGTAAAAGAGGTGACCATAATAGTATAGACCATCACACTTGGATGGTCCGAATTTGAGGCATGTTGGTTTGGAAAAATGTCTTATGAATAAAATGCACTGTGTGGCTTTCAAAGTAATGGTGCAGGCAGTTGCTTAATTTGTCAGAACTTGTTGAAAATCCATCGGGACCTTCTGCTTGTTCTTGTAATGAGGTTGCAGCAATATGGAAATCAGGAAGAGTTAGTGTTGGTAAAACACCCAAGCCACATTCTTTGGGAAAGGAAAAACATTTCAAAAGCTAGTGATGGCTTTTCCTTTGCTTCTTCCTTTCAGCTTCGCTCAGCATTGGATAAAACTGAAGAGCTTGAAGTTAGCAATGGCCATCTAGTGAAACGGCTGGAGAAGATGAAGGCCAATCGAAGTGCTTTACTATCTCAGCAATAATAGCCGGCTTTCACTGAAAACTACTACTTGATGGAATGAGAACAACATTGGAGATGCTTGTCTTTTGCTGTTTGGGATGCTTTATCATCATGCCTTCTGAGAACAAACAAAAAACCCACCCCAAACACATGCACTCATTTGCTATATGCCACCAAATTGTGGTTCTCTCTACGCAGATTCAATCCTGCTGCACTATATACATCGGAGTAGCTGATCCAAATGACTGGGCCTGTAGATGCCCTTCCACACTGTATGGTTGGTACATTTGCAGTACAGTACCTGTATACCATTTAACAAGCACACCGGGCATCGTGTTAGTTCTTCATCCCGAAAAGCACAGCAGCCGTTTTTTGCCATTTAAAATGGTGTTAAAAATAAAGATTTAAACTGGGACTTGAATTTTGTCTTGCTGAAATTTAGGGGGGAGAAAAGCTGTAATTTCTGGACTTCTCATGGCAGTATCTTCAATTTAGTGACTACAGTAGTATATTCATAGTAGGCTGTTCATTAACAAAACACTGTGGAACCACAAGCCATTACAAAGCAAAACTCCTTCAGTGGAAACCATGGAAGATGATGGTCTTGGAAGCAAAAGTGACCTTAAATGACTTTGCCAATAAAACAAAGGTGTTTGGAAGGAATTTTGCACCAGTTCAATCATAAGACTATTTTATTTCAGGGTGAATAGGCAATAGCTTCACTGAATTACAGCTTTTTATGTGTATTATTTAATCCCTATATTTGGAATTGAAGTAAACTACTTCTTTTAAAGGATGTAATAATGTTGCATAAATAAACCAGAGTAAGGCCATGTTTTAAAAAAGGTGGACTGCACTTACGTCATTTCACTACAGTTGTCAAAGCAAAAGTAGCTGAGAAGTAAAGAAGCACTTTAGAATACATTGCTACATCGATTTTTCTACAAGTTCTGTAATTGCAAAACTGTTCCTTGGGAATTTTACAAAACAATTTTCCACTTGAAAAAGAAAACATAACCAATTAAAATATCCCAGGCAGTTTTTACAATCTAGTGACTCTGTTAGCATTACAGCTCTGCTTCATTAGAAAAGATTTATAATATTGAATTCAAAGCAGTTATCTGAGAAATAAATCCCAGCAATTTGTCCCCCCTCCAGAGAAAGCTTGTAGTACATAAGGAATGCAGATGATTATTGTACAAAACTCCCAAAAACTCTGTTCCAGATATAAGATTAGATATCTCTTCAACAGAAATAATTTTCCATGAATGCTGACTCTTCTAGACTCCCTTCACTTCTGTTGCTTGCCACGTACTAAGCCAAATTCAGGGTCAAGAGGCCAAATTTCTCCTTAACCTCAGCTTTAGATTTCTGGTCCACATACTGTTCTTGCATTTCCCTCCTATTTAGAAGTTAGAATGCAGGACACTGCTGTTGTCCACTAAAGGAAGTATTGCTGATCTTGGTTTAATTACCTTCGAAGATCAGATAAAAATGTTAATTGGATGTGTTTCCCTGGCTAGAGAAGGAACACTCCTCATTCCATCAGAATGAATTCAGGCATCTGGCTTACCTCAGTGGGGAAGGAGTAGATCAGTGTTTTGGAAGAGGGAGTTGGGATGAGGAGGCCTTTGTGGTCTTAGAGAAATCAGAGAAATGTAGGGCTGGAAGGGCCCTCAAGAGGCCATACCCCTGCACTGAGGCAGGACTAAGTATACCTAGACCATAATTTCTTGCCCTTGTCAATCGGATATAGAGCTGTACAGTGGGTAAAAGGACGCCTTTAAATGAAATCTCCACCTCCAACTGGGCTTTTATGGAAAGACTCTTCAGATGCAGAGCCAGGTTTCTTGCTGAATACCTCAAACTAGATGTAGAAACCAGATTTGCAACTTTCTGTGACTTTTCTAATTTCTGGTGTATAGAGCCTCTAGTGTCTACAAAATACAATGAAGTTTTTTATTAAAATAAACATACCATAGTATTTTATTAAAGGATTAAGTTGTGTGATTGCCGCTTGGCATATCTTCTTGTGGTAGTGGGGAAAATACTGTCTTGTGACAAAAATCAGGGGGGAAATCGGTAACAATAAGGGTTGGGCCAAAAAATTTAAACAAATATTTTGTTCATCAGGAAGTGCTGTGATTTTTTTTTAAAGAAACTTTCATCTTGCATCCATGTGCATTAATCTCTTTATCACAGACAGAAGTCAAATCCAAATTTCATAACCTGGATGCTTATGCCTCTAAGAAATCTTTCAGTGTGTAATAAACTAGCTGAATATCCAAACCATAATTTGTTCCCTCTGAATCTCCGTATGACCTAGGTTTAGTTGTAAGGGAAAAAAATATCAATTGGTTGTAGCACATTAATGTTTATTTTCCTATGAAGAATGCACACTAACAGGGCTTTAAATGGTGGTAACAACATTGGCTCCAAACCGCGGGGAAGTCAATGCATCCGGTTGGAGTTCAAGGGTATGTCTACACTGCAGC